GTTGCAGAGACAAGGGTGGAACAAAACTGAGAAATACCGATTTTGACGATTTGTGTTTCGTGCTTCGCATGTGACTCCACTGCCTTAATTCCCATCGTTCCGAGCTTGAATTACTTCTTGCACAAAATACACTGTGCCTCATATGTTCCTTGGTTTTAGCCATGGAGAAAACTCTTGGCTGGAGACAATTTTGGTTACATTTATACTCGCTCATATTTTCCAAACAAAAAATTAATGGCGCATCTCCTAAAAGTCCCGGCCGCAACAACGCTTTTATTGGTTCCGCTATCGGGACGGAACCAATAATGGCGAGTCGTTATTTTTTTTTTTTTTATAAAAAAAAATTGTCAATTTTAATGTTTTATTTAGATTACAAAAATAAATCGTAATAAAAATAATCATATTATTGATGTTTTAAAAATTAATACCTATGAAAGACTGATTTAAGACATTTTAATACCAATTAAGGCCTTAGTTTTATTTTGAAGAATTTAATGCCTTTTAAGACTTTTCAAGGACCCGCGGGAACCCTGTATTGTATAAAGCCTCAAACTCAACGCTATTTCAGACAATTTGAATTGAAAAGGCTTCCTGGATGGGAAGCAAAACGTCTTCAAACTTGGAAACAAAGTCCAGTATATTGCTTTTTTAACTTTTTTGGAAGTAGTATGACCTGAAAGACTGAGAATCTTCACCAGCATATCTTTAAAGCCTTCTGTGACTTTTTGAACAAAGGCCTACATGCAACGTGTGCAGGCCTAATTAAAAGGCCAATCATAACATTGGCCCTCCAGCATGTCATGCTCCCGAATCTGGCCCAGGACTAGAGTCAAATGTTTTTTGGAACTATTTAGCCCAGTAGGCTACCTCACTGAAAGATTCTCAGCTCTGAGGGCTTCTTTGCTATTGGACTGAGTTTAGAGCTGTGGCAGTTCCATAACAACCTCGCCCTTACTAATGCAACAGTGTGTGCTTCAGTGCTTCAGAGTTGGGGTGGTTTTCTGAAGGTTTGTGAGCTGTGCTCTTTTTGTTTCAAATGAAACAATAAACATTACAGTTAAACATCTTTAAACTTTATCATAAATAAGGTCTAAGAAGCTGAGTGTCGAAGCAATTTTTACTTTTTAGCCATCAGTTTGGAAAAGTAAAACAAAGTCACAACCTGACTAATTAGCCATCTGAATTTTGGCTTTGATTGTTTAGGTGCAGTTATTGAATTAATCAAACATTAATAAACTATCTGATTATGATGGGTGTTGCAAATTTAACCCTTCTTTGTGGCAATTGAGGTGTTTTTTCTTTGTGTCTATAAAGTCAAACAGAAATCATATTTATCCTTCGTAATCTTTTAAATGTTGGCCAAATGAAATTTAATATGGAATATGATTTCAGAAAACAGTTATATACCTCTCGGGAAAAATGATAGATGAATCCTTGAGGAAGCTCCTGGTTTCTGACCTTGTCCCACATCTAGAATTCATGCAGCAATAAAGAGAGTAGAGCAGTCAAAACCGGTTAAGTTACAAACTTTTTAAATCATAGCAACACTCCCCTCCCCTCAAAAAATACTATTTTCAGTCTCTTTATTTAACTACTGTAACAAAATTCCTGGAGATGTAAGCTTTAGATATAATTATAAGCACTTTTTTAGTTTTTTATAGATTTTATATCCGTCTAAAAACAGTAGGTGTGAACCTGTATTGACAGCATAGATTCTGGTGCAGGATCTTCATTCTTAAACAGATGCATAAAAGGTTCCCTATTATCTTATCTGGATTGGTTTGATCAGTTGATCAGTAATGTAATGTTTTACAGTAAAAATACTGCTTAATTGCTAAAAAATGTCAAAGTAAGAAAAATATATCCTTATATCAAAGGTATAATGCCAAATGTAATGATACTCATAGGATAGGCTCCTGAAAAATTGATTATAATAAAATAATTTCTGCCTTTTTTTTTCCTAAGTTGATCAATATCTAGAAACCTTTGTTATATAATGCATAGCTTTCAGTTTCCATGAGGTTTGAATATAATGAGGCACATGTTTCTATGATCCTCAGTCCAAGAAGTAAATCAGTACGGACTTTTAACAAAGCTGAAGAACATCAGCGGTCGCTGTAAGTGCCGTCTGAATGTAAGAAAGGTGGTAGGAAAAGAAGGCTGGATGGTTCCTATCATTAGCCCCATTTACACTACCCTTGAAAAACCGATCCAGGCCCAGACCGGTCCGAGCTTGGATCGGTAACCAGGCCAAGCTCAGTTTTGACGACCGTTCACACGTCACACTTATCTCGGTTATCTCGACTCCTCGACTCCTCGCCTCCTAGTGACGATGTGCGGTATTACTGCTAGGATTGAAGGAGGGACTCAAGCAGCTGGTGGCGGTAATGCACCAAACGCTGTTTGTCAACCGCCGTAAAACCCAAGAAGAAGAAGACGAAGGAGGAGGGAATCAAGCAAATCAAAATGGCGGCGCCCGTCACATTCAGAAAGTTATGCTTGATTATTATTGCTGTACTTCCGTGTTTGCGGTGGGTCAGGCGAAGACGGCAACCTTGCGCGGATGTACTGGAATGGAGTGTGAATCGGCATGTTCAGCCAGTCGGCGATGACGCGTTCTGCTCATGCGCTCTTGTTATCAGAGAACCGAGCCAGGAAAAAACCGAGCCGAACCCACCTCGGGAACTGGTCTGCAGTTAGCGCGGTCCGGTTATGTCTATCTCGGTTCAGTTCAGGTTGTTTCCGTTCACACACGACAAGTTATCTCAGTTACTGAGCTCGGACCGGTCTCGGCTCAGTTTTTTAAGGGTAGTGTAAACGGGGTAATTAGCTCATTTAGCATAGGGGCCTCCCGACGTCCCGATCTGGCACTAAGGAGCCGAAATCCGATGCTTTACAGGTTAAATCATTGTTTCTTCATGTGTATTCTGTATGACACATGCCAATGTACGCACCTTTATCTATTTTGTTTTTTTTTAATGAAGAGCTTCATCTGTTCTCTCTTGTGTGATGTGCATTTTTCGTAGTTCTTTTCAAGAGGCAATAGGCCCACTTTGACAACCAGCAGTCATGTATGTTTCCATTGCATAGAGCCTTAGGCTGTCTGGATTTCTCAAAGAAGTCATTTCTTTCCTAGCTCATGAAAAAGTGAAGGAATAGCAGCTAGGAACAAAAGTCAGGAGCCATGATTTTAACTGAGCCTGGTCCGCTGGAGATTTCTTCCTGTTAAAAGGGAGTCTTTCCTCTCCACTGTCGCTACAAGCATGCTTGGTGTGAAGGACTGCTGGAGAGTCAATAAATCAATGCAATCAACTGGTTTTCCTTAGAGCGGAAAACTTTGAATCAATTTGATTGGATGATCTGGTTGAAATATAAAGTGCCTTGAGATGACGTTTTATAAATTGGCGCTATATAAATAAACTGAATTGAATAGAATTGATCTGCTGTATTCCGACTGAGATGGTGATGCTGTGGTTCTGTGCCTCCTTAAAAGACCCTGAAAACCTAGGGACTCTAAAATCTGTGAAATGGTGGACAATTTTAAATACAAAAAAATAAATAACCAGGAAACACAAAAAAATATATACATAAATCATCCCTCATCAAGGCATACGGTGGATGAAGTTAACCAATAAAGTGATTGTTTAACTACAAGAAAGAAAAAAAAAAAAAACGTACCTCATTCTTGTCATTAAGAGTTGGTATGTTCCAAAGGAGTTCAAAAAATATCAGCCCCAAAGCAAATATGTCCACCTTTCGATCATATAACTTCCTGTTCCTCTGTTATAAAAGCATAAACATAATTAGGAAAAAGGCATCCGCTGGCACATAATATTAACTCCTTGATGCCTGAATTTATGTATATAAATATAAGAACATGTGTGCATTGCCTTTAAATGGTAGCTAGATTGAGGAGAGTTTTAATTTGGCTATTGCAAAAAAATGAATAGAAATGTAGGGATATTGCAAATTTTGTGAACATATTTATTACATTTGATGTCATACACCGCCAGGGACCAGTCGTATCAGAAACAAGGGCTTCCCAAAGGTTCCTGAATGAATGTGGCATTGTGGGAAATGCATTTGACTTTCTACCTTGACTGTTTGCATACTGTAGTACAAATGGTTTGTTGCATATTTACCACAATACGCAGCAAATGGCTAAATATTTCAGGGCAAATCCCATAGTTCTTCTCACCTGTTCAGGAGCCATGTAAGATGGTGTTCCTTTGTACCCTCTTCTCTCCTTCTGGTTCTCTGCATCATCTTCAATCTCAGACGTGACGAGACCAAAGTCTCCGATCTTCACTGTGCCGTTCCGACTGAACATGATGTTAGCAGGCTGAGAAGCACAAACATAGTTCAGAGATTTGGACAAAGCAAGCATCCAGGCTATTTGTTTTAATTGGATTTTATTCAGGGGTATCAGGATAAGAGGGTGTGGATTAATTTGGGTTATGATTTTCAGACTTTTATTTGTAAGAGAAAGTCTAAAAATTAATTATTTCTTCTCTCCCATATTCATTCATAACTTTTAGTGCTGGTCTGTCTCAGTTGCGTCCAAAGTTTTTATCATCAAGTCAGAAGTACTCAGAGGCTAAAAAAATATATTTCTTTAAATGCAAAAAAATATACAAAAATTATACTGTTTTATTTACCACCTCAATCATAAATAAAGCACGTCACGTATCACTTTACTTGGATTTAGTTTTACATATGCATATATACACACATACACATATATATA